TACCAGTTGATCATCATCCACAAGTTGCCTCTAACTTGATGTAGGTGCGTTCCCACCTCTTCCACTTCTTGTAATAACGGCCATGGAATGCCCCGTATTGTTCTCACCCTTCGGGTTCACCACTGTATCATTTGGTAGTACCCCCTTTGGACGAGAATTTAAATCTTGAAAGATTTGACCCATTTGCACTTCTAAGTTTCGGATTGACGTGCTGTGTGAAGCAAGTTGGGCATCAGAATCGGCATTCTTCTCCATCAATTCCTTGAACATGTTTTCAATATGACTCATTTCATTGTTGAAGGAACTAGGACCATGAGAAGGATAAGGAGGTGGGTTTCTCGGTTGTTGATTCATCGGGGGCCTTTGAAAGCCCGACCCCCGATTTCCTTGGTTGTTGTTCCAACCTCCTTGGTTGTTGCCTCCCCAATTGCCTTGATTGTTATTGTTTTGCCAATTATTTTTGTTATTGCTTCCACTTCAATTGCCTTGATTGTTTCCACTAGTCCAATTACCTTGGTTGTTAGAATTCCAATTGCCTCGATTATTTCTCCATTGTTATTGACTAGGGCCTTGGAATTTGTTTCTTTGCCCTTGAAAGTTGTTCACATATTGGACCTTTTCCTCTTGATCATTATAAGAATCACCTTAATCAAATACACTATCATCTTGCACAAGATTGTCCACTCTTTGTTGCACTTGTGGACTTCTTGTTCTTCTCTTGTTTACCAACATATTGACTCCCTCTATAGCATTGACTTGCCTCGGGTTTTGTAAATGTTGAAGTTGAGCCTTTGCCAATTAGTTCATGGTGGTTGTCAACTCGGCTATGGCTTGCCCATGGTCATGTAACTCTTTATGAAGAAGAATCACATTTGGATCACCTTGTGGAACATTGATTCTAGATTGCTACGCCGATGAAGTATCCGCCATCTCATTTAAAATATCACACGCCTCCGCATAGGGCATAGTCATGAAGGTCCCACCGGCAAGTTGGTTCACTACACATTGGTTGGTGGTATTGATCCCCCAACAGAAAATTTGTTGAATCATGTTCTCCGTCATATCATTGTTGGGGAACTCTTTCACCATTGCTCTATACANTTGGGGAACTCTTTCACCATTGTTCTATACCTTTCCCATATCTCATGCAGTGGTTCATTTGGCTCTTGCTTGAATGCTGGAATTTCATCCCGAAGAATAGCCATGTGCCCGGGAGAGAAGTACTTTGAAATAAATTTTTCCTCTAGTTCAACCCAATTATGAATGGAATGATTTGGCAAATATTCCAACCAATCTAAAGCTTTTCCCCATAGAGAGAAGGGAAAAAGCCTTAGCCTCAAAACATCCTCGGAGACATTTGTTTGTTTGATCCCCCAACACGTATCTACGAACCCCTTCAAAGAACCCTCGTTTCTAGAGTAAAGTGAGCATCACGTTGGTTATTTGGAAGTTGCCCGCCCTAATACGGGGAGGGACTATAGCACTTGCATACCCTTCATTCGGCAACACCCGATATGGAGCCGCTCGTGGTGGAGGTGGGGGTAGAGCGGGTACAATGTCTTGAGGCGAACGGCCTCGTCTATTGCCCTGAGGTTCAAGAGGGACCTCATCCATTTGATCATCCTCAACATCCACATCCCCCATGGCTATGTTTCCGAGATCGTTGTTTTCTATGATTGCACCTATAACACTCACACGTTAGTAACAAGGAAGGAAAAGAAGATATCCCAAACACACACCTAACTATATAGCTAACACCATTTTTTTAGCTCCCCGGCAACGGCGCCAAAAATTGATCTCGTCCAATTTCACTCCTCTCTTTGAGGTTATGAAAATGGTCGATGCAATAGTAATACCCAACAAGAGTCGGGGTCGAATTCCGCAGGGAGCTATATGAATGGGTGTTAGTAGTATATATCTCAGCGCGTGAGTTCGTATATCAAAATTTTCACTTCCGCAATATTTGGTTTTGTTTAAAAATCTAAACTAAACTACGATTGTGATTCAAAGAATGAAACTAGGAAAATATTTTTGTTGTTTTCCAAATGATATAAAAGGCCTAGGGCTATGACCTTCACCTAGGTGTTTGCCTAATGGGTTATAAATTTTAAAACTTATTTTATTGGTCGGGGTGTATTATAGCTATCAACACTCAAGTACCCACTCAATACCTCTCGGTCAGAGAGTGATTTTGCCCAATTTGGCTTTCTCAAGTCCAAATAGGTTTTGAAAAAAATAATTGATAAGAATCTCAAGTCGGGCTTTACTATCTCTAGGTTCAACCCTTTAATTGGGCTTATTAATCTCTAGATTGACCCAATTTCTTGCTAGTCAAGTTTTCCTAGACTATGTCTCTCTTTCTCAAGTAGTGACTAAGTCAAATAGGCATGAATTAATGTTTGCAACTATTAATTCTTCAAAAAAAAACAAGAACAAGGCTAGATAATAAACACCCAACCATAAACAAGCAGTAAATCAAATACCCATTAAGTTTACACGCTAGGGTTGAGTCACAGCCCTAGTAAAAATTTAGCTACTCATGCTTAAACTAGAAGAAACATGAGAAGAAATGATAATTAAACCCATATAGATAATTAAAATGATGAAATCAATATTCAAAAAGCTCAAAATAGCAAAAAACTACTAAAAAGAGAAAAACAAATGTCTATTGTAGCAGCTGATGTCAAAAGTTGACCTAAAAAAGCGAAACTCTTCAATTTATACAAAGCTAGAATTTTTGGACAAAAATGCCCTTTCGGAGGTTCTGCGGCCGCACTATTCCATGTGCGGGCTGCATAATTCCATGTGCGGGCCGCACTTTGCTTCAGCTTGAAAAGGTTGGAAATCTGCGGCCTCATAATAATGAAGTGCGGCCGCACTGCCCTTTTACTGTGGTCCGCACAATAATTTCTGCGGCCACACTTTGTTCTTCTGCGGTCCGCACATGGAATTGTGCGGCCTCGTAGCTCTTCTTCTGTTGCCGCACAATAATTGTGCGGTACGCACTTGTGTTTGACTGGAGGTGCAGGTTCTCTGAACGTTTGCTCTGACCCAGCTTCTACGGTCGCACAATTCGTGTGCGGTCCGCATCTTGCAACATTCTTTGTTGGAATTGCTTTACGACTTGTGGCTGCAGATGATATTCTACGGTCTGCACTTTGAGCTTTTGGGCCTGTTTTTGTCCTTGAGTTCAGATTACTCTTTCTTGAGTTGGATTTCATCTCGGGAGCTCATCTTCCAATATTCCTGCAGTTAAGTACATTTCATTAGTTTTAGGGAATACAATTAAGCACTTTTGGACTAAAACGAACGCTAAAAGGCGCTAATAAGTAGTCAAAATCCCCACTTATCAGGGGGTGATATGAGGATACAACAACATCGACTGCCGCTCCGATCGGGATACGAAACCCAGAAGCATAGTTATATCATCGGGACCGGGGAGTGCGCGGCCAGCCCCGTAGAAACAAGTTGTACAAGTTAGCCACAAGAAATGGAAATTTACTTTTAGCATAACGAATGCTTATGTACTTTTTGAAATTAGAAGGAATAAGTAAAGTCCTTTTATTCCTATCTTATTTGTTGTCTGAACGATGAATTGATTCTGTCATTTGAAAGTTAAACAAATACTTCAAATGCTAGTGCCATAATGAACATGAGACGTTCTCTTCAAGAGCACCATAAACATAAAAGGACCCTCTCTTATGAAAACCCTCACGATAAAGGGTTGATTTCTAAAGAACTTGTGCCCTAAATCCAAATGCTTTTGGGAGAAAATATACCCAAAGCCTTGCATAATCAGACGCAAATAGTAAACTTGGATAAAACACTTAAACGAGATAGGATGCAAAGATTAAACTTGCATAAATGTTCAAACAAAAGAACGCAAAAACACTCGTGTAGTACTTGAGCTAAATGTGTTTTTATTTACAATAAATGTTCCAAAATGGCACAAGTACAAAAGTTAGGAAAAGAAATGAATAGCTATGCTACTGCATCTCCGGAACTCGGAGGAAGAGAAGCATCCATGCCCGTAGGAGAAGTGGGTAGATCAGCCGCCGGCTTGATATCTTGATCTTCATCATTCTAACCTTCAACATCTTCGCCTTCCGGTTCCTCTTCAGTTCCCGAGAATTTGGAACCGGAACCAGAAGAACTAGAAGCATCAGGCCTGGCCGGAACACCCCTTTTAGCAATTGACTGCAGCTCACGGGCTTTAGTGATTTCGGAATCAAAGTCAATAACACCCGCGTTAGCCTCTTCCAAGTTTTTTCTCCTCATGCTGTACATAACACATATTGTTTCAAAAATGAGGGAAGCCGCTTGGCGCTTGAGTTCTTCTTTAAGTTGGTCAACCTCGGCAAAAAGATTTTCCCATGCAGATCTAACAGACCGGAGGCTAACATCTAGATCACGGACAGTAGAGATGAAAAGTCTATTATGCTCAATGGTCCTCTTATACTTCTCCTCCAATTGGGCATATTTCACCCCAACAGCAACAAGCTCTTCCATTTTGGAGTTCAAGGCTGCCTCCAAACTATTTAATCTTTCTGCGGAAGAAGCCTCGCGATCGGATGTAGCAATAACGACATTATGGGCTTCATCCCATTTGGCCCTAGACTCTTCAAATTGAACCCTCAGCAGGGCGATCTCTTGGCTAAGGGTCTCTACTTCTTGCTCGCTTTGCTGCAAACGAGCCTCTAGCACAACAGCCTAAGCAGCTTTGGCTTCCAGTTCTGAGAGGCGAGTAACAGTTTGGTGCCGCTCGGCCAAAAGTTGATAACGCTCGGAGAAAGTTGTTCCTTATCTCGAATCAACCTTTGGAGACCCTCGAAAGCAAGGAAATTGGCATACGAAACAAAAAAGGCAAACTCAAAATACTACTAAATCAAATATAGAAGAGATAACAAAGGAAATGAAGAATATACTGCTGCGGCATTGTGCATAGCATTGTTCAACAAGCACTCTCTCGATAGAGCTTGAATCTTTTCCCAATCGTTTTCTCAAGTAAGAGGCTTCAGATAATTAGCAAGTTCCACAGGTTGGGACAGTAGATTGCATCCGGTAGAGACCAAAAGAGTAACGCTCCTCCTTTTTTTGCAGATCCTTTGGGGGGCGGCATAATTTTGCCCCAAGTTCCCATGAACTGGGGACTGGGGGAGAGGAACATCCTCTTCTCGGATAGATGCGGCCGGTGGAGATGATGAAGAAGTTACTGGTGGAAGAGTCGGTGAAGAGGGAGATGAAGCTGATGGCATTGAAAGATGAGAAGCGGCTTCGGCAAGAGTAGTGTTGGGTGTTGGTTGCTCATCAACTGAAGACGGTTGGGACCCGATACTCAATCTCACAGTACCAGGGGCACCGGCTGGGATCCGAAAACTGGTGTTGGCATTTTCCACCATCTCAAACTCCCCCAAGAGCACCGAGCCAGGTCCTGAGTGATAATATCCAAATGTTGCTAGTGGCAGTCTTCCTTCACAGCAGGGATACTGGAAGGGCGGATAGAAGAAGGGTATACGCTAACAACCCACGTATGAGGGTGAGCAGAAGGGTATTTCTATTCAAACTCTTTAGTGGTAATCAGATTCTTTGGGATGTTGGTACTCACCGTAAGGGGAGAAGCATCATCAGTTTTACCTTTGTTCTTTGAAGAACTACGGTTTCTTGAAGAAGAGGTCATTTTTTATCAGAAAGGGTTTTTCTCTCAAAGAAGGAAGCTAAAGAAATATTAAAGTCGAAGTATGAGTTGAGTAAAGAAAGTCTAAGAAATTTTTGAGTATTATTAAGTGTAAATGAAGGAGGTTGATGCGTATAAGTAAAGGTATAAGCAGCTAAACGTGTGGCAATAATTACCTCGATAATCGGCAAAAGTGATGCTAAATCATGGGATGACGCGTATTCGGGGCATTAAATGCGGAGAGACGTGTGTCTAATCAACAGTCATAAACTTTTCAGAGGGGGTTAGTAAATTTCCCACCAAAAATAATGTTTCTTCCAACTTTCCGGTGACACATAGTTAAGTCACCGAAAAGGAGGGGTACTATCTATATAGGGTAAAATATGTTATATTAAATGATCACATGAGGAAGCGACACGTGGAGCTGAAGCCAAAAGATAGCTAAAACCGAAGGCAACGATCCAGTCTGTTACCTGAGAGAATGATACTCATAAAGATGAAATAATTGCCTTCCACCTGGTAGCATTTAATGAAGAATATTCTACAACATTAAATACATTGCCTGTTACAAGAAATATGGAATTCACTGCTCGTCGTTACACATTCATCAGTGGCCCTCATAATTGACATTAAAGAAGGAATTGATCCTAGGNGAAGCCAAAAGATAGCTGAAACCGAAGGCAACGATCCAGTCTGTTACCTGAGAGAATGATACTCATAAAGATGAAATAATTGCCTTCCACCTGGTAGCATTTAATGAAGAATATTCTACAACATTAAATACATTGCCTGTTACAAGAAATATGGAATTCACTGCTCGTCGTTACACATTCATCAGTGGCCCTCATAATTGACATTAAAGAAGGAATTGATCCTAGGACCTTATTCCCTAGGTGCAGCTATAAATAGTGAGCTCTATATCATTGTAAAGGACGCAAAATTTCATGAAAACATATGCTACACTCTATTCAAAGCTTAATATAATTTTATCTTCTTATTTTTTGATATCATTGTTGTTGTACCCGGAAGCCTTGCTCCCAGAACTACTATTTATGCTATTTCGTCGCCATCTCAAGGCTAAGTATTATATTTTTATCTAATTCATCTATTATTTCATGATCAAACTAATTCATCTATCTAGAAATCATGTATAAATTCAACTATACCGTTTTACGGGTAAACAATATCTTGGAATTTTAATTGTATAATTTGAAAATCTAAAATAATGACTAATTTTCAAATTATAGGGGGTGAAAAGTGTCTGTTGGTGAATTTTTTTTCTCGTTCTAGGACAACTCTGAACAGCCTCAATCTTCTTGGGATTCACCTTTATGCCTTTTGCCGATACAACATGCCCCAAAAGGCAACTGAGTTTTACCAAAACTCACATTTTGAAACCTTGGCATATAAGTGATTATTCTTCAAGGTGTGAAGCACACTTCTAAGATGTTGCTCATGTTCCTCTCGACTGCTGGAGTAAATCAAGATATCATCAATGAATACAACCACAAAAGAATCCAAATAAGGCTTGAACACCCGATTCATCAAATCTATAAATGGTGGTGGGCATTTGTCAACCCAAATGACATCACTAGGAATTCGTAATGCCTATACCGAGATTGAAAAGCTGTTCTAGGGACATCAGATGCCCTAATCATCAACTGATGGTAACCAGACCTCAAATCGATCTTCAAAAATACCTTGGCACCATGAAGCTGATCAAATAAGTCAGCAATTCTTGGCAGCGGATATTTGTTTTTGATAGTGGCTTTGTTCAACTGCTGATAATTTATACACATCTGCATAGAGCCATCTTTCTTCTTTACAAATAATACTGGTGCACCCCAGGGCGAGACACTTGGTGTAATGAATCCCTGGTCAAGCAAGTCTTGTAACTGCTCTTTCAATTCTTTCAACTCTGGCGGGGCCATACAGTATGGTGGAATAGAAATGGGTTGAGTGCCCGGAGCCAAATCAATACAGAAGTCAATATCTTTGTCGGGTGGCATCCCCAGCAAATCTGCAGGAAATACTTCTGAAAATTCACGTACAACTGGTACTGAGTCCATAGAAGGAACATTCACACTGGGATCGCGAATATAAGCCAAATAGGCTAGACACCCTTTCTCTACCTTACGCCGAGCTTTCATATAAGAAATAACCCTGCTGGCAGACTGATCAGGAGTTCCTTTCCACTCTAATTGAGGTAACCCCGGCATGGCTAGAGTCACTGTCTCGGCATGACAATCCAATATAGCATGATAATGTGACAGCCAATCCATACCCAAGATGACATCAAAATCTACCATATCAAGAAGTAGAAGATCCACACTAGTCTCAAGATTACCAATAGTAACCACACATGAATGATAGACATGATCTACTATAACAGCGTCTCATACGGGTGTAGATACACACAGAGAAGCACTAAGAGAATTACAAGGCACAACCAAATATGAAGCAAAATAGGAGGACACATAGGAATAAGTAGATCCTGGATCAANAGAATCACAAGGCACAACCAAATATGAAGCAAAATAGGAGGACACATAGGAATAAGTAGATCCTGGATCAAATAGAACTGAAGCATCTCTATAAAAAATTGGAATAATACCTGTGATCACGACATCAGATGACTCGGCCCCAGGCCTAGCTGGAAAAGCATAAAATCGGGGCTGGGCCCCACCACTCTGAACTGTGTCTCTAGGACGGCCTCTAACTGGCTGGCCTCCACCTCTAACGGTCTGACCTCCACCTCTAATGTCCTGACCTCCACCTCTAATGGCTTGACCTCCCCCTCTTGCTGCATGACCCCTACCTCTAGCTGGCTGAGTAGGCGGTGAAGCAACCGGTGCCGGTATGATGGCATGAGAATCTTGTCGAGATCTGTTATTCGCCAATCTAGGGCAGTACCTCCTGATGTGACTAATGTTTCAACACTCATAACACCCATCCTGATATCGTGGCTGCTGAAGCTGAAGCTGACCCAGATGTGCCGGATAACCATGGTAGTAACTTCGGTGCTTCAGGGAGTCACGGTAGTGTGATAGGCAAGAACTTTTCCATAAATAGCTGAGAGAACTGTTCCCACGTAAGTGCAGGCAATCCGACTGGTTGGGTCAATATATAATCTCCCCACCACCTCTTGGTGGAACCCGTCATCTGAAATACAGCAAAATTGACCCTATTGGTCTCAACTATACCCATGCCACGCCCTCCATAAGACTGGAGTGGCTATGAATCCTTCCGGGACATGAACTGCTCCAGCTGGTACATTATGATCTGGAACCTCCTCCTGAAGATCCATCTGAGGTTCTACAACAGGTGCAGCTGCTCAAGCTCTGGTCTGAGCTCTACCTCGGCCTCTACCTCGGCCTCTAGCACGACCTCGACCTCGACCTCGACCTCGACCTCGACCTCTATCCCTAGCCATAGTTGCCACAGGGGGTTCTGGTCCCTATCCATCGGTAGAGGTATTACCTGTTCTCACGATCTCCGAGAGAATAAGAGTAGAATGGTTCAATCATTGATGATAGAATAAAATCGCACGACAAAATAAGAAAAAAGTGATATTGTTCCTAAACTTTATAGCCTCTGAGAGATAAGTATNCCATCCCAGAATTGGTGTCACAAGTGCATGAGCTTCTAGAATAAATATAAATAAAGGTCTGAATTAAATAAAGTTGTCTGGAAATAAACACAAAGCTAAAGTAAAATAGACGGGGACTTCAGAATTGCGGACGCCATGCAGTTATACCTCAAGTCTCCTCTGGTAGAAGAAATCCGAGCAAGTCTATGGTACGGCGCTGGGACCAACTCCAAAATCTGCACAAGAAGTGCAGAGTGTAGTATCAGTACAACCGACCCCATGTACTGGTAAGTGCTGAGCCTAACCTCGACGAAGTAGTGGCGAGACAAAAGCGGTTCACTTATATTAACTTGTACGCAATATTAATGACAACAACAAATAATAGAATTAAAACAGGTAACTCATTTATAATAATTGAAGCCAACTCAGCAGTCATAATCCATTATCATTTCAACCAATTATGTTGCAGCGTGCAACCCACACTCACAATATATTCACATTTAATTCTGTTGCTGCATGCNCTCTCTCTATATATATATATATATATATATATATATATATATATATATATATTCCTTTTAATCAAGTCTGTCATATATTTATTTCATTCAAGTATATATATATATAGACTTTTAAATAAGTCTGTTTCGGCGTGCAATCCGATCCCCCTATATTTACTTTTAAATAAGTCTATTGCGGCGTGTAATCCGATCCCCCAATATTGACTTTTACTTTCATTTCCGTTGCGGCGTGCAACCCGTTCCCCCAATATATATAACTTTAAATAGATCATAATGTAAATAAAAATTACTCCAATAAATACCACGTCCAATGAGAACTATTAAACATCAAGACACACAATAATTATAATTTATTTATGAACAAACAATGGCAATAATAATTTATTTTAGAAATTAGGGAAAAAATAGACAGTTTAATATTTAATATGCTAAATGTCAAGTAGCAATTAGTGCACATAATTCAAATAAGCATGTAGCAATTATTACAGAAATTTAAGAATTAATATTTGGCAAAGAATAGGAGAGAAACAATTATTATAACAATTAATTTATGGTTTAAAATAATTTATGGTTTTTCAAGTAAGCAGGAAAAAAATAAATTTCACGACGTATGGACACTCGTCACCTCGTGTATATGTCGTTCACATGCATTTCACATAACAAATAATTTAAGGGTTCTATTCGCTCAAGTCAAGGTTAACCACGACACTTACCTCGCTTTGCAAATTTCAATCAATTATTAAACCATAGCTTTTCCTTTTAAATTTGTCTCCGAAAGCTTCAAATCTATTCACAAACAATTCGATATATTCAATACTAATCATATGAATTTAAAAATTTATTGGATAAAAATCCGAAATTCATTAAAATATTCGGCAGTGGGACCCACATCT